TCTTTCTCTCTTGCTCTGTAAACTTTGTTAGGGAAGCCATGTGCGGGATACTGGCTGTTTTAGGTTGCAGCGACACTTCCCAAATCAAACGGTCCCGCGTCATTGAGCTCTCTCGACGGTACTCTCTCTCTCTCTCTCTCTCTCTTAAATCGGCCGTCAATTGCTCTCCCATGCCTCGCATTGCATATTCTCTCTACTATTGTTGGTTCTTTTTGCGTATTTTCTCTGTAGATTCGGTAGCATATTCTCTATCTTTTCTCGCATGCGCCGCTTTCTCTCTCTTTTCTGTCTCAAAATCTTGCTGTGAGTTTGTCTGCGGTCTGTTCTCTCTATTCATGTTGCGATTGTTGATACCTTTAGCTGTGAATTTATGCTTATAGTCTGTGTGTGTTTAGTCTGCCATTTATTTTGTATTAACTGTATTTTTTCCTGACAGTGGCACATTTCTCTCATGGAATACTCTATTTTTGTCAGATTTGACAACTTCTTTACTGATATTATAGATTAATGGGTTTAGGATGGATTTTGGGCATTGTAACTGAAATCAAGAGGGACAGGAGTTAGTTTTGTGAATACACAATAAACTGAAATCAAGAGGGACAGGAGTTAGTTTTGTGAATACACAATAAACTTTAGAAAATGTGTAATACTGTTGTGCCTGTTCCGTGATGAATCTCTTCACCTGTCAATTCAAAGTTCGTTAAAGCAAAAAATTGAGTAGAATGGGTTCTAAGATAACACGGCTGAATATATTTAGCAATTAGCTAGCTTGGTTGCTTTTTCTCTTATATGCTTGTTGTTGGCTTGCCCTAGTTGTTCTTACTGTTATCATGCTTTATTTGATAAGTGAATTGTCAGTGTGGACCACTTCTTTTGACTTGGATGCTCTAAGTTTAGGAATTATTATATTTTTTGGTTAATTCAGAAATTTGCACTTCATACTTGTAAAGCTTTTCTATGTTTTTTTCTGGTGCCTAAAAAGAGCTTATGAAATTGAAATCCATGACGTTAATATATTTGAAGTTTCTAACTGTTTGTTTAGAGAAACCCGTACTTAACATTTCATTTCTATGATTATTTGGATGAAATATTTTTGAAGTTACATAAATTGGCTCGTTTGATGTTTTACTTTGTTTGTCTTCAATTTGTGTTTTTGGCCTAACATTCCCCTATAAATTTTATCTAAGCCAGATCCAATTTGTAGTTGTGTTTTCGTTTATCATAGGTGTAAACAGGCCATCTAGCTTGACACTTGGCATGATAAAACTAACCCTCTTAACTAAGGTTGAGGAATGGATATGAAAGAGGACCTCCTTTTGCTTAAAGCAAGCACTTGCAATTCGCACTAGGAATATGGGAGATAGAACCCTTTTTCCTTTCCTATATATATATGGGTGTGGTTTGTATAGAGCGAGGCTCTAAACAATCAAATTAGAGCCTACTTTCAAATAGTGTCAAGAAATATGGTTTCAATACCGAAAATCTTTTTGATAGCCTTAAAATATATTTTTATCTTTATTTATAAAGTTTAAAGCTTCAAAAATAATGTAGATTGAGAGATCTATGAAAACTTGAAAATCTTGAAATTTGACGGTCCAAAAGTGTGTTACAAAATACATTATTTCCAAAAGTTGAAATCCATTTTTTTATCATGTCCATGCATCTTGATATCAAGATGATGAATATTAGGATATTTGGGTATCAAAACAATATCTTCTAGTGAAATTTTTGAGGTAGGCTCGAATTTGATTGTTTAGAGTCTCGGCTCTATATAAACTTTTCCCTATATATATATGTGTATATATGGAAGATGGTATGGTACGCCGATTCGCGTACCGCTGCAATAAACCCCGAATGGCTCAGATCGAATCTGGGCCGATCACAGTTGTCCGGTAGTATTTGAATTTTAATTTTTTTCTACAACTCCAAAGCACTTGAAATTTTAGGCATATGTTCTTCAAAAATAGGTAAATCTAAAAAAAATAATCAAAAAAATATTTTACAAGAAAAAAATTGACCAAAATACCCCCAAAAAGGTTTGGGGGCATTTTGATCAATTTGTTTTTGACCAAAATATAGGGTTACAATAGGCCTCCTTTGCAAGGATGTAGAGGACGCCCTTTTGCTTAAAGCAAGCACTTGCAATTCAC